TTTTATTATCATCATATACATAGCAGTGCTCGAAATAAGCGTTGTCCGGTTGTCCGAGACAACCAGAATTTGCGCCGGACAACCTAACCAGTCTGAGACATTGTCCGGTGGACAACCAAGAAACACTATACCTAACCCTAACACTAACTCTAAACCAAAGATCTCTAAACCGACTCGGCTATCTTATAGACGCGCGGTACCCAATTAATCTATGGTGTATAACCTTTTGCTTTCAATATTTTGCATCTGAACTGACAATCAATCCCAACCAATTGGTGTAGGCTAGCTGGCACAATAATGTTCAGTTTCATACTTCAAATCCGAGTGTTTTCTAGCTCATCAAGAAATCTCAATCGTGAATTAAATCGTGAATAATATAAAAATATGGGACCAGCTGCTATTTCCAACACTGGTATATGTCAGGTTTTCTAATTTATGAGAGGTGAACTCGATTTGGAACCAGCAAACCAGCAAGTTTCTAAAATTTTCTGGGGGAGGACCCCCATACCCCCCCTATGCCTGTTTTTCACCCCTCCCTCCTTGGAATCCTAGACCCGCCACTGAACAATTACATATCTTGGGAGCAGAGAACAATGAACAAAAATGTCGCCTTTTCGCATGGATTGCAGAGCTGAGAGGTAGAGGAGCCGAGCCGTAGGGTGTGGAGAAGGAGGCGGAGGAGCCAGTAAAATATTAAGTCATCCACTATTTTGCGCAGTTCGCTGTTTTTGGTCCCCCTTATTAAAAAATCCTGGCTACGCCACTGTTTTTGTTTTATGATCATATTATTATGTGATTGAAAATAGGAGATTTGGGGATATTTTTTGGGACAACCAGAAATTGTTGCGGACAACCCGATTTGATGCCGGGGTTGTCCGCAGGACAACCACATTTTTTTTCTTATTTCGAGCACTGCATAGTGGTAAAACAATATGTTAGCCTCCATGTCACGGAATTTACTGCCATTTATTTCATAGATATAACAACAGACATGACTTCATTTACTCCAAAATATATTCGATAATATGCCGCATTTTAAATGCAGAAATATACTTGGTCTAATATATAGGTGGTCATACTTTGTAAGTATGATGCTAACTAGTGCAGGACAGAGGGTTAGGTAAAACTGAGAATTTATCGCACCTGTCTTATAATTTACTAGCATTGTCCAGCGGTTCGAGGATATTGGCGAACAATGCCTGTAAAGTCGTTTAGGATGTTACCATAGTCATACCGGTGCATTGCTATTGCTAGCAGTAGAAGTCTGATGACCTTACATCCATGGACGATTCTTAGCAAAATGGCACTAGTTATTATATTATTGTAATTTGTAAATTTCTGTGTAAAAAACTATATTTTAAAAGTATAATCACTACTTACTTAATAATAGGGTTAGCTATTCTTGGCTTTTTGAGTTGACAATGAGTGGCTATGAACAATGTTTCCACCACAATTATTAACCATTTTAAGTTGAATTTAAGTTGAATTTTATTTAAATGGAAAAAATGGCATGGTTCACACTTTACCTTGTTCATCTACTATGAACATTTAATATAGTCATAATGTCAAGTTACATGTGTTGGCACTTTATTGCGTGAAAAGTTTTGGTACTTACATTTCTTCTTTCTTTGTTGTTGTATTATCTTGTGCACAAACATTGTTAGAATCAATATAATGGCAAATTGCATAATCAGTCCATTATTTGGCCTGATATTTTTGGAACTATTTGCAGAGTTTTTTCGGGTTTGGTTCTGGAGCAGACATCGATATCATACTCGATGGCGCTGATTCCCGCAAGCAGGCAGAGATCAAAACAGAGGAAGGCAGGAAAGAGAAACATTCCCTGTACTACGATGGGGAGTCTGTCTCAGGAAAGGTATTTATGTTTCAGAACTTTAGTGTTGGTTATCTGTTAGTGTTGGTGCCTGTGTTTGCAGTGATTGTCAAGTATAATAATTTTGGCTTAGTTTTTTGGAATAACTACAACATAATGTTCTATCATAAGAAAGTTTACAGTGTAAGTATACTAAAAGTAAGTTCTCATTCATATCAATGCTGACAAAATGGATGTTTTCATACCAGGAGGATTCTTCCCATTTCTCTTGGGGAATTTTCATTAGGCTAGACAATGCGTTACTGATGACAGTGGTGTTCTAAGTTGTTCTGTTGCCCTTACGTTTGTGGTGGTGGGGATGGCATTCAAGGGCTTCTCTCCCAGAAATGTGGACTGAAAAGGGAAACTTCATCACAGGACAGCACAATTGCATGGTGTCATTGGCAGTGACAAAAATGTGTGATTTTAAAAATTGACATTGTTTAATAACAACACTGAATGTCCGATAAGAGAAACATATCATATTCTACTTTTTAGCTCATCTGACATAGTCAGATGCAGCTTGTAGAATCGCATGATCGTCCGTCCGTCCGTGCGTCCGTCCGGTCGTCCGTCCGTCCGTCCGTCCGTCCGTCAACAGTTGGGCACAAATCTTAACCGCTCGACGTACGGTCACGATATTCGGCACATCGGGGGGGATCGTCAAAACGAGTTGGGATGTCGAAGCTGGGGGTCAAAGGTCAAAGTTCAAGAGGTGTAAAAGAAGGGGGAACATTCACTCCTTAACTTAAGGTATAGGGAGGAAATGCAGAATTGCGGCACAAATCTAAATGGCTCGACCTAGGCTCGTGATAGTCGGTGTATAGCATCATGGTAGGAAAAGCCATCACTGTGCCGAAATTGGAGGTCACAGGTCAAAGGTCAATGGGGCACAGGGCAGAGGTTTTCTGAGGACATGGTCTGACGGCAGCGATTGAAAAAACTTTTTTGTTTCAGCGTGACCTAGCATTTTTATGGCTTTATTGAAAGCGACCATGAAATGTCCCTTCTGCTGACATGCGAAGAGTAAGTGTCGGATAACTTTTGACCCTCAAGAGGAGGGTTAAACATGGATTTGTTCACTGTCAACAAAGGACTGAACTTGCTTTTGGCTATTATTAGAGCTCATACCTGTGTCAATGTGAGGCTAGCAGTTGGCACAGTTTAATTGCAAAGGCAAATGTTTGTTGAACCAGAGGTTTACGCTCCTTAAATCATATGATTTTCTAAAGCAGTCTGTCTAATAGCACCCTGCCATTAGCCTGAAGGCTGAAATGATGAATCAGTGAATGCTCACGAGGCAAAAACACAGGGCAGCCATGGCTGGCACGCTTCTTATCATAATTTTGCTGCCAACCTGCAATGCACCCTGTTAACTCACAGCTGGCAACTGCCTGAATATACTTACTTGGATTTTAGCTGTACCATACTGGTACGATTTTCAGGAAGCGATGCCATCTTTGATTATTGATTTACACTTGCACGCGCCATCTCGCGGCAACTATAGGCCTAGTTTAAAATTAGATTTTATATTCTCATGTAACTTTGTTAAACGAATAAATAATAACTAGTACCATATTATAATATATTAATATTTACTTTTCATCTTGAATCTTAACATATATCATGTAGCTATGGCCGTGCGTATCCATTTATCCAGTTGTCTGGCGAACATAAGCTGTTACCATAGAAATATTAGAGACACTATATATTATGATTTCTATGACTGTTACACTCAGGGGGCATAGGAAGAAAGCATTATTAAGGGGCAGTAAAAGGCATCATCGCTGGGTTTTAATTTTTTTAATTATAATTAAGAGAGAGAGAAAGTCTAAGATAAAGAGAGAGAGAGTAGTAAATTGAGACGGGGACAGGAAAACTGTGATACGGTGTGTATGCGAGCAGGAAACGGGGTACATTAGTCGTGGCAGAATGTGCAAGGGGATTGCGGAGGTGGAGGCAGGGGGAGGGAGGTCGAAGGTAGGGGGAGGGAGATGGGAGGTAAGGGGGAAGTGAGAGGCAAGAGGAAGCTGAAGTGGGCAGGCAGTGGGAGGAGAGGTGGACGCAGTTGGGAGGGAGGTGGGAGAGAAGGACTCCCCGCCCCCTCTAATTAAACTGGAGATCCATGCTCATATGTTGAAATCTTTTTATAGATAGATATAAAATAGATAGCTGTGAATCTATGACACAAATTCGAAGTGAAGGCAAGTATCATTTAATAAAATAAAACCAAAATCGCATTGGGGGGGAGATAGTGAGCGTGTCCCTAACAATGATGTGGTACGCAACTGCGTATCTGCATATCTGCGCCTAACAAATGTGTCACTACGCACGACTGAAGTTTATAACCGTAAGCAACAGACCAGATGAGGCTCAGCGCTCTGCGGCTCTTGTTATGCTATATAAGTATATTCTGTGATAATTCTGAAAAATTTCATCTTCCTGATATTCCAGAATATTGTCTTCTTTAATAGAAAGAAGGATTGGCAACATATATTTTACTATTATAATTTCAGTTAGATCATGATAACCCTTACCATTTAAGCCAGGGAATTCTTGAATTGAATAGTAAGTTAGCTGTAACTATAATGACATTTCAGTGATTAGTTCCTGATCGGACAAGTGCAAAATAGATTCGTAAAAGCGCAACTTTGCCAATACAGTCGTGGAGTACAGTAAAAGACCCGCGCGTATAAGAACATAGATTTTTCCAAGTTAGCCTCAACATGTTCTTTATATAAATGGTGCTTACTGAAAATTAGGCTCAAAAGGTTCTTAAATAGTTCTTAATTTGTTTCTACTTTCTAATATGTACTAGCTGTGAAACGCCGCGCTACGCGCGGGCTTAGTGACTGTGATGCATGTGTTACCAGTACAGTACAGTAAAACCCGCGTATAAGAACATAGATTTTTCCAAGTTAGCCTCAACATGTTCTTATAATAAAATGGTGCTTACTGAAAAATTAGGCTCAAAAGGTTCTTTAAATAGGTTCTTAATTGTTTCTTACTTTTAATATGTACTAGCTGAAACCCGCGCTACGCGCGCCTTAGTGACTGTGATGCATGTGTTACCAGTACAGTAGTGTTATGTGTAAGGTGTTAATGGAAACAGGCTGAATGTGTTATGGTTATGCAATTTTTGACCGCATTTTCAGCCTGAGTGTTCTTAATCGACGTGGTCTTTTATGCGGGTTTTTACTGTATATGTTAAATAATGCAGTACTGTGTCTCAATAACAATGCCAGGTGCTGGCATTGTTATTGTTGAGCATTGGCATTGGCATTGCAATTGGCATTGCATTGGCATTGTTATTGCATCGATATTGTTGAGCTCGTCTTTTTTATTTTACCTGTGTTTCTTTTTAAGTCTTCATACTGCATGGAAAATTAAGAACTACTTTAAAATCTTAGCCTAAAACAGGTTCTTATGTAAAGGGGTCTAAATGGGAAATTTTAGCCTAACATGTTCTTTAAATCTATGTTCTTATATGCGGGTTTTTACTGTAGTGTTATGTGTATAAGGTGTTATATGGAGAGTTTAGTTGTTGCCACATGTTATTTTTTTTATATAAGAACAATTTTTATTTTTCAGGCTGAATGTGTTATGTATATGCAATTTTTTGACCGCATTTCAGCCTGAGTGTTCTTAATCGACGTGTTCTTTTTATGCGGGTTTTACTGTATATGTAAATAATGCAGTACTGTGTCTCAATAACAATGCCAGGGTCTGCTGGCATTGTTATTGTTGAGCATTGGCATTGGCTAATGGCATTGGCATTGTTATTGCATCGATATTGTTGAGCTCGTCTTTTTATTTTACCTGTGTTTCTTTTTAAGTCTTCATCTGCATGGAAAATTAAGACACTACTTTAAAATCTTAGCCTAAACAGGTTCTTATGTAAAAGGGCGTCTTAAGATGCGGAAATTTTAGCTTAAAACATGTTTTAGCCTAACATGTTCTTAAAATCTATGTTCTTATACGCGGGTTTTTACTGTATCGTTGCAGTGCTCATGATTGTTGATCATTGTTGTTTGTGTAAAAGGATGGCTGATAAAGAGATGTAGGCAATATATAAGCATATACTGTTTTTTTGCAGTAAGTATTTAGATTTACTGTCATGTTCTAGACCAATGGTTCTAAACCTTTTTTGAGTCATGGACCCCTTTGAGAATCTGATGAAAGCTACGGACCCCTCCCCAGAAAAATGCACATAAGCACATAAACACAAAATTCTGCCTGCAATGAGGTTCACAGACCCTCTGAAGCCCATCCTCGGACCCCCAAAGGGATCCGTGGACCACAGGTTAAGAACCCCTGTTCTAGACTACTGTTCCTCTTTAATGAAATTCGTGAACAACAGATTCAGAAATAAGATGAACCCAACATTTACCCAGGCATGCAATGAATCTTACACAAATGAATGTCAAGTTTAAGCATGGTAGTGGGATAAACTTTGTTGTTGGAAATGATCTTAGAGGGGTATTACACCTTAGAATTTTAGGGTATATTATCAGGAGGTATATTATCAGGAGGTATTATCAGGAGGTATATTATCAGGTATATTATCTTCTATTATCTACTCCTGATATTATGATAGTAAGTGTGTAAATAATGGTATATACGTACAAATTTCTATAATTATGCATTCACATTTTATAAAACAACACTGAGTTTTAAAATCTTTATTTTTGGCTGCTGACATGACACCCCGCGATTGTGCTGCCACATTGACGAAATTGTGCGTTGTCCAATTTATTTTGCATGTTACAGACCGAGGACTAATCACAAAAATGTGCAGTTATATTTATATATCTAACTGCTATTTAACTGAACGTTGTATTTTTTTTGATAAATTCGTTCATATTATAAGTGAAACCAAGCTAGTTGTTTATAAGATATTGCAATACGTCTCCTCTTAAATTAATAAATAAGAAACACCCTCGGTATGTAGCCTGTGTTGTTGCCGAAAAGTTGTGATGCGCAAGTAAATAACAACTGAAAGTAGATGCGCTAGTAGTGACGCCAGCGTCGTTGTAAGCAATGATATAGCTGTTAGTTTTAAAACATTAAAAAAAACTATTCCTAATGAATATTGGACATTGAAATTTGTATATAGCATAAAGTAAACCTATTTTAACAGAAAATATGCAAGGAATCTAGGGTCCTGTGTCCCTTTTTAAAAATACAGTTTTGACGCCTTTGAATTCCAAGTTTTCTGAGAGAGGGCCCCTTAAAGTGGATAAACCTCGCAACAAAAAGCCTACATACACCTACTATACTGTGAGCATACTTGCAGTATGCAAACATCACGATATGTTCTTATTGAGCCAGAAATGTGCTCTGAACATTGGGATTTTCAGAAGAGCCAACAGTAGGCCTAAGCTAGCACGCAAATAGTTCCTGGAACGAAAACTATATATTTGTCTCCTGATTGCATAAGTAATGTAGATAACATATATGATTTAAACGAATTTCACAATTTCGTACTGAGTAAACAGCGAACAGTAAAGTATAACATGTGATATCATAGAAAAGAACTGTTAATGCAGCACAACGTTCGCTCGGCTGTGTACCGGATGTGTAAACACTGTAAACATCCTGTGGTGCTACTTTCGTAACTTTTGTTTAGATTTTATGAAGAATGTTGTGAAAGTAGCAATACAAATAAGTTGTAGTGAATTTTTACAACATGGACGAGCTCACAGTAGGTACATCTATGCATTTTGCTGCGAGAACATGCCGTTTTAAGCCCCACGAAAATTTGTCGAAAACGCATTTGTACTGAATCCCTTACCACACCACCGATGTCAGTAACGTAGAGCGGCTGTCTGAATTAAAACTTAAACTCCTGTCAGAAACCCTGGATTTTAAGTCCATGAATTCTTATTCATTTGTAATGGTGTGCCAACTGTTATATATATCAGATACTGACTGAATTCTCGGTTTTATTGTAATTATGCTTTCATTTCTGACCAGAATACTTGAGTGCCGAGAACTGTAAAAGGAGTGCGGTACCTCCTCCCCAATTAAGCTCACCCCACAAACCATCCTTTGTGTCCCATGATTTATCGTGTTTTTTATACGAAAGGTCAGTTGTTCTTCATTAAATTGAATAGTCAGCTAAAATGGAATGTGCACTTTTTCTAGGTGAATGTCACGATGAAAAAGCCTGGCACGAAACTTGAACACCAGGGTGTGAAAATCGAATTTATTGGTCAAATAGGTAAGATATATATTCGGGACCTCCTCGTTGACTCAATCAAAGCACAAGAAGTGTAATGTTTAGTGAACTTCTGATTTATATATGATTTGCTATAGGAAATTCAATAAAACGTATCAAATCTACTAAAAATCTACTTTGTATCCCTACCGAAGAATTTTCACCATTTTCGCACTTTGTTCACCTTCTTTCCACAGATATATGATCGGTTGACAGACATGTTTGTATTAATTTGTGTAATTTATGACAGGAATTTCCCATTCTTGCATAACTAATAATTTCAGTGATCCCTGCTTTATCGGTACAAGGAAGGGTTAGACTGAGGATTATGTGTAGTTGTATATTTTGTTGTCTAGTGATCTGTTACCATCAGCGCTCTTGCTGTCTGTTAGTGTTAGCTGTTAGGGTTCAGCATTGCTCATTGTGTATATATCTGTATTGTGCATCGTTGCAACACTAACACATCATCACTTTCATCAAAATGTGCAGCGATTGAAATTTATTTGTTGCCTTGTTGTTGATGGTTACATGCCACTTGTTTCTTGCAAGACGCTGTCCCTAAATTTTGTTAATGGTAACTTGCGTAAATGGTAAAATTTAAAAGTAATAGAGACATGCATGGTACCGGTCTAAAACCACTTCTGTCACTGAATGAGATGCAATTTTGTGTGTGGGACCATTTACAAGGCAATAGTCATGACATTAAAGAATGCGGCTGCATTCTTTGCCATTTTACATACTATATCAGCACAGACTAATGGTAATTTTTATACTTGAGTAATCAGTAATATCGCTGCTAATAGGCAAGACCTAATTAATCTACATGTTTTTGTGTTTCTGTTTATTTGAGAGGTAATGATAGAATGGTGGGTTTGTTGCTTTGCAAACAAACGTTTGGCAATCTCTACTTAAAATGAAGATCTATCCCTGCAGACCATTATCTAATCATCTAATCCAGTTTTCCAAATATGTTTCTAGTTGTTTGTAAACAACTTAGCATATACATTTCGAGCATTTCGCATGCTATATTTTCTCAAGCAAGCTTGAAAACTTCTCGCTGATAATCTAGTTTATATTTATAGATATGTTTTTTATTGTTTAGATGTTGTGGCCACGATTTCCTGCAATAGAATATGCACCTGTGTACCGGCATAACTGTATGTGTGTAGATGTGTGTTTCGAGAGCCACTCATCCCTGCACCGTTAACATCATAACAATGGTCTTGTTTGGTCCCAGAATTATAAATGATTGACTAGCATGATGTAGTGATTGTGATATAATAATATCTGCGTAAAACATGGAGACTGGTGAGGACTTGGATAGTATTAAAACAATTTGCCCATCTGCTTCAATGTTTAATATTCATTATAGTTTGTTATGGTCCTATTCTTAGAGCTGTACTATGACAGAGGAAACCACCATGAGTTCTCATCGATAGTGAAAGAACTAGCACGGCCAGGAGAATTAATGCAGAATGCAACATACTCATTTGAATTTGTTCAAGTAGAAAAGCCATATGAGTCGTACACTGGAGCGAATGTCAAGTTAAGGTAAGGAGAAACTGCTTTGCTTTGCTTATAAAGTTACTGCGTAGAATGTGCAGAATGTATTTGCGTAGAATGTTACTGCTTTGCTTAGAAAGTAGAATGGCTTTTCGTGTGCTTGCGTTCCTCTCATTCTGCATTCATTCTGTGTGATGAATTAGCTTTTCTGTGCTTACATAGCATGAAACATGTTTTTTTATTTATAAAAGCAACAAAAAATATAGAAAAGAACCCTCAAGTTAGATGCAAGTAAAACAATTTAATTATAATTGATAACTAGTAAATAATTCATTCTAAATTCAACACACCTGAGATCAAAGTAACGGGTTGCATGCAAATGGATAGAAACCAAATTGATGAAAGTAAAATTCCAAATGCAGTTCTAAGTTGTTTGTATCATGAAGTAGGAAGACATACTTTCCATATATTTCTTGAACTTTTTATAAAATGTTATTGAAGAACAATAAGCTAGGGTAATGTATCAAAAATCTAATTGCATTTGAGGTTATTGCTAAAGAATATCTAATAGTGAATAACCAAATTTGGCAAATAAATTTAATGGAAACCACACATGTATTCAATCAAGACTACATTTACTGTTTGATCAAACAGGCCAGAAGTTGCATAAACCTGATGGGTTACCTAATACCTGTATGGTGCACCTATTGTAGCTATGTAATGCCATATGCAGTATCTATAGCTCTTAGTCTAGCTCTGCGGATTTCAATTAGACATTTCTTAGTAACCAGCAGTGATATTGGACAAACTAATACGCGTTTGGCTATTTAAGGTAATGTACTTATTAACTACACAAGGTGCCAGTTACTCTAGCATTCGTCAACATTGCATAATCAATGGCCATATAATATTATTCCTTTAATATTCGGTGTATAGTGTGATGGGCAGGAAACCCATCACCAGTGCGAAATTGGATGTCACAGGTCAAAGGGCAGTGGGGGAAAGGTCAGATATCAGACATTTTCTGAGGACATGGCCTAATAGACAGAGTGAAAAACTTTTTTGTTTCAGCGCTCACCTACCATTTTTATCACTTTATTGAAAGGACCATGAAATGTGCTTTCCACTGACGTGCAAAGAGTAAGTGTCTGATAACCTTTTGACCCTGAAGAGGAGGGTTAAACATGGATTCCTGAACTGCCTCAATGATGTCACAGTGTTCTCATATTCATGGCACATCCATAATCTAGAAAGCCAATAAGCCTGGATAGCCGAACGCCTACACCGCAGGCGTCACGGCTCAAAGGTTGTTGGATCGAATTCCATCAGATTTTTTATTATTTACCTGTTTTCTGTATTTTTCTATCTCTATTCATTTAACTATTTTTTTTTCCAATTAACGCAAATATTTACATTATTTATTTAAGCAATTTAATAACAACAAATAACTTTTACAACAATTAATTTTTTTTTAATGGGGTTAGGGTTAGGTTCACAATGCACCATAAAACAGAGTTTCAGGCACTCGATTTGTATCAACCAATGGGATCTGGGAGGTATGCAGAATGCAGAAGGTTGCTGAAATGATGTGTACGCAACTGCGTATCTGCATATCTGCACCTAACAAAGGTGTCACTACGCACGACTTAAATGTTACATTTATAACCGTTGCAACAGACCTCAGATGAGCCCAGACGCTCTGCGGCTCTTGTTTATCACACATCTTAGTCATTAGAAAGTAATCTTATCAAATAAAAACAAATCACATTGAAAACTTAATGAATTCACAGAAGTGCAGATGAAAATTGTGTAGTAAAATTGTACAGCAAGTAACTGTAGAATAGCCCATATGTCTTAAGTGTGCAAGGGGAAGGAAGATTTAGCTAAAAAAAATAGTGGATGTAAAGGAAGAAGTGGAGTGGAGTGGAGTGGAGTGGAGTGGAGAGGAGAGGAGATTTTAATTGTGTGGGGAATGCAGTGTGGAAATCTCTGCATGTTCATTACTAAACAATAATTATGTACCCTTTTTTCTTGTCTTAAAATGTATATATACATCTTTCTGTATTCTGCTGCAGGTACTTTCTCCGAGTAACGCTAGTGAAGCGCATCAGTGATTTAGTGAAAGAGAGGGATATCATAGTTCACACGCTATCTACATACCCAGAAATGAACAATAGTATCAAAATGGAGGTGGGAATAGAGGAAAGTCTGCATATCGAATTTGAATACAACAAATCCAAGTAAGTTATTTTGTTATTTAATTCATGAGCTTAATTGTCATCCACATGGTTGAGCGTATGGAAAGTGACTATTGTCTTCACTCTGAATCATTCATTAACTTTGAGTGTTGAACTAGCATTGAGGCAATTGTGGCACAAGACTTAACTATGATCTATACCCTTTACATTAGAGATATAGGGTTCATTGGGTCAATGAGCTGCTGCATTCTCAGTGTCAAAAATCAAGGTCATGGGTCAAGAAGCAGTGTTTTATGTGACACTTTGCCAATAATTTAAGTCGTGCTTTCACAGACCCAGTTGGACCCCACTGGAACAGTTGTATCTGTTGTGTTAAAAAATGTGTAAAAATAAATTACCATGGGTACTCTAGATTTCAAGGAGCACTGTTTATGGCACCTGTCAAAATTTGAAATGGTTGCTTACGCACTGTATAGAAATGTCACCTGTCTAAAAGAAAATTGGTGTTTTATTTGAGTGACCACTATCTACAGGGTCACACTGTAGGTAGTTTTTCCTCACTGCTAAATTAATTTGCCTTACTTCTCATATAATAAGGATATGTTTGGTAACATTTAACTAATTGTGTTTCTGGACAGATACCACTTGAAGGACGTCATTGTGGGAAAGATTTACTTTCTTCTCGTGCGAATTAAAATCAAGCACATGGAATTGGCTATTATAAAGCGTGAAACTACAGGCTCAGGTACACTCCATTTATATACTTATAGTATATCATGTTTAAAGAAAGTTTATAGTTTACTTATATAACATTTCCCAGAGATTTGCTGGAAAGCTGTCTAATTAATTACAGCCTGACCTAGTTTGTATTTTGGCTGCCAGCTCACGAATCTGCGCAGAATGCATGTCTCTAAAAATATTGTTTGAGAGCCTTGAGTCATATCTGACAGAAATGACCATTTGTTTGGTGGCTATTTTTGGAAAGAGTATTTTATAGAGAAGGGGAGCTCGGTTAGAGAAGGAAGGAAGGTGGGTGTAGGGGGTTAAGAAGAAAAGAATACAGGATTTCTTTATTTTCACATGTACACCTATTTTACAAAAGGCCACCTCATAATCTGTACGATTGGAATTTGACACCCACTCTCAATATGCAATACACTTGTATACACTAGTTTGGAACCCAATCTGGGTGACTTTTGTGACGAAAATGTGATATGTTCATGTTTTAGGAGAAAATAGAGGGTCGTAAATGCTACTAAAAGAATGCAGTAGTAGAACAATGCATTTTAACAGGAGAATATAATTAACATAGTGTGAAAGCCTGCTGCAATGAAAACTGTAATTATACAATGTTAGTTGATGAAAACTGTACGGAATACGAGAGTTACATAACGAAACAGAAAGTAACATGAGGAAAGGTAAGATACGATAACCGTAACATAAGTGAGGTTATCAAAAATTAGGATGACATTCTTAAGTACATTAACCATGAAGGTGTGTGATTCAAAGGACTTCATGGGAAAATCGTAAGCTGAAGAACATGTTACTGGATAGATGAAAATATTAGAAATGCTACTTCAGTGAATACAGTATTAGTGCAGCCATTTTGTATAGGAGAACATAATTATCATAGTGTAAATAAGTCCTATAATAAAGATGGTAATTGTACAATGTTCTATAAAGAGAAATTTGTAGAATGCAGCGGTTAACATATATAAGGAAACTGAACGTAACGTAAAGAAATGTAACATAAGTAAGGTTGTCAGTATCTTAGCAGAACAGGTATAACATGAAATAGTAGTACAATTATGACAGTAATTGTCAAATCATAGAATAGAACTCCGTTTAATGAAAAACATAAACGTAATAGCATCACCGTAACCTAGCTATACGGTATCATGTATTGGAGCACTAATCGTGTTATTGCTGAATCATTTTGCACCAAGGCCATTTTCGCTTTTTATGGAATTTTAAGTTTACCGGCCGGATCGGTCGTGTGGGGAAGAGTTTCTGTTAAGTGATTTTGTTACAATGTTATGGCATGCATCTGACGATTGACAATTTTAATGACGTTGATGTTATGATGCATGACATGCTTTTCTGTGGCATAAGTGATGACAGTGTTCAGCACAAATTGCTGATCGACTCTATAAAAACTTAAATTTAAAAGATTAAAAACGAATTTGTCTTTACATGTCTTAAAATCTTGTTCTTCAATGCAGGTCCAAACACATTCAATGATAATGAGACGATAGCGAAGTATGAAATTATGGATGGAGCACCGGTGCGTGGAGAGTCTATCCCCATTCGTCTCTTTCTTAGTGGCTATGACCTTACTCCTACGATGAGAGATATCAACAAGAAGTTCTCTGTCAAATACTATTTGAACCTCGTTCTTGTTGATGAAGAGGAGAGACGATATTTCAAGCAGCAGGTTCGTTAATTTTAATATCCCATCGTAGGGCATTTCTTTGCAGGTTGCGCTGTGACACAATGTACTGTTAGATATAATCGGATGCTTGGGTGTGCATTTAAGGGTGAAAATTACATGCTTGAATCTTTTGTAGGTTGATGTTGAATTTTAGTAGTGTATGGTGACATATGGCATTAAGTTTGTTATTGGATTATTTGCAGTATTAATTTTCAGATTGAGAACCTTGTGTTAGTCCCATATATCATGGTCAGAAAATTGGGAGTATAAGTGTAGTTAAAATTATTTAATGTAATAAGTATTTAAACCAATCTTCATTAAATGTCAAAACAATGGAATTTCCAAGAGAACTATTTTTAACAACAGTGGCATTAATTAATTAAAGTAAATTGTTTTAATGAAAAATCTATTTACATAATCCATCGGTAACATATTAACAACTGGTCTAGTTGTCTTTGTCAAGCTAGGTGACATTAATGGAGCTAGTCACTAGATGGCAGGAGGTGAAAATAGCCACATATATATTCAACTGGTGTTGGTAGTGGCCTCCAGGTCCGTTTGGCTGATCCTTGGCTTAAGAATCTGGACATGGAAGGCTCTCTTATGGGTACACACTACACAGATAAAAGCTTTCATCCAAATTTGCAAATAGTGTTGACCGCATGAACAAAAATGATGGGATATGCGACCTGTTCCTTATCTGCAAAAATCTAAAGTGCAGGACCGATCTTCCCGGGTGCTGACAAAAACCGTTTGCATTTCCAGCTTGTCACCTGCTGCCATCTGATGACGGCTCAAGTCAAACTACATTCTTGATGTCATGCTTGATAAAGTCAATACAACCAGTTTTTCGAAACCATTGCTAACAGATTAAATAATTATATGTATCATAAAATAAGTTTAATCTCACTTTATTCTGAAATCTAATAAAATTATTGCAGGATTACTCATCTTACATTGCTTTGGCGTTTTATGCAGGAAATTGTTTTATGGAGAAAGGGGGAAAAGGTACGCAGACAGATCCAGCAGCCTGCCTCAGTACCCAGCACGATCTCCAATGTTGCCTCACCAGAAGAAACTTCTCCTACAGCCAACGATGTTGAAAAGTGACCAGTCTTCTACTATAGGTAGAGTGACTACCATCTTTAACCACACGGGCCTTGCGTTTACGAGTCTGACCATCTCCTTCAGGAATAGCATTTACGATGACTCCCATTGGCCACTCGTTCATGAGAACATTCTGATCTTACAACAGAATCGTATCACTGGCATTGGGACAATCGTTTTTGTTATCTGTGTCTGCTCTGCAATGTGTGAACGTTCTCTTGTCTTCGTCGATGCCAAAATGCGTCTGCCAAGATTATTTTATTAAAGAATGTTACTCCAAGATTGCAGCTCATTTTCAGTTTTAGTGGTAATAAATCATACTGCACCTACAGTATTGGAGCATTGCCCAATTTATTTATCCTTGGTCTCTATTAATAAAAGTAGGTGTCTGGTGAAGGAATTGTGTAGGCATATACTATTGTTATGACAAGTATGATATTATCTATACAAATTATAGACAATGAAATACTTCACATCTTGTATGTGTTTACAGCGTCACTTGCATTAATAATCTGTTGTTTTGTTTACAGAAACACATGGCAATCCATCATATGCACCTGCTGCAGTGGTGAAGCTAAAGTCATGTAAATTGTGAAATATTAGTGCAAGAGAAAGTGATGTGCACATGCACGTTCACACATATGGACACACGCACATGCGTGTGCATGCCCACATGCACTCATCCACACAGAGACAAACATGGACATGCACACGCACGCATACATCCACACAGAGACAAACATGGACATGCACACGCACGCATACATCCACACAGAGACAAACATGGACATGCACATGTACGCACACATCCACACAGAGACAAACATGGACATGCACACACGACATGCATATGCACACACACACTGATATACACGTGAAACACATGCCCACACACACAGACGCTCACAGACAGACATGCATGCACGCACGCACGCACGCACGCATGCACACCTACACCTACATTGGGGGGGGGGGAATGAGACGACCCCATTTTATTACTAGAGACAGTTATTAAAAATACATTGGGTCTGTTTGTTGTTCTTTATGTATTTGATTGATATGTATTGGAAGACTGCGGGGGCTTCCCATGGGTTGCTGGCATCTTCTTTCTCTTGAATTGCAAGACAAATATGCACCAAAGTAAATGAAATGAGAACTCAATTGTAAAACATGCCTAAAATGGTGTTGTTATTCTTACTTTTAATTGTGCATAAAAAAATTATTGATTATGAAACAGAGTCTGGTGTCTTGCTGTGCTAAGTTGAGAATTATGGCAGTATTCATAGTATCAAGAACTTATCCTATGTAATACCTAATAATAATAGGTATTATAAGCTCTTGATAGTATCAGGGGTGAACAATGACAAATTTGTCATTATTCACCCCTGATAGTATACCTCATAGGGTCTATGTCCCCCAGGGTACTGCCGGAACCTACCCTGGTCACTATTTGATATGGTTAGGATTAGGGAGTAGGCATAGGCGACTCCCTAGACTCGTTAGTGGAGTAGGCGAGGTACGGTCCGGCATATTAGATAGTACCAGGGTACGTTCCGGCAGAAGCCCGGGGGACATAGACCCTCTCAGCGATAGTATACATCGTGTCTAAAACAAAGTTGTATTTACAATCACTGAAATAAGACCTTACACTGGAAACGACATTCTAAATAACCATTTTGCACATTTTATATTGTGTGACATCTTTATTATAACGAACAGAAAATGTGAGACAAAACGTTATTTATGTATGTCCCAATTGCCATCTATATACTTTCCTGTGAGAAATCACCTGGGTGGAGTTTAAAGTTTTTGTGTTGCAGATCGAGGTGCGATCCTCCCAGAGCTTATTTATTTGCATCAGTCGTAAGACAGTATATCGTATGATATAATGCTTTCCCTCCACGTTTTTGTTCTGCGTGTAAAATACAGCTGATATGCATATAGGTGTGCTTCTATAAAATGACGTATTCATTTTATGCTATCGATAGTGTTGAAAATGATTAATGAGGTGTAATAATTTACTTAGGCATGTGATTTATTATATACGGTTTGTGCATTTGTAAAATAGGTGCAAAGATCTGAAGTTAGAGTTCGGAAGGAATTTCCAACTTCAGGAAACGTATTTTTCTGATTTAAAGGCCAAGTACGAAGAACTAATAATAGTACAAATAGAATAGTTTCGATTTGGGAATTTGCTTGGCAGTCTTCAGACCTGATTTTACAGCGACATGTTCCTTACAAACATATTATTAACTCACGAGACTCATGCATAAGTAATTTTTTACCAAGTGGGAGGATCTTTTTCTGTGCATATGCTTTTGGATTGTCCTTGATGTAGAGATGTAAATGTCAGTGGTGGTGTGATACCCAGTGAGTGGCAAAACTTTTTTGTTCTTTCAATTGCATATGCGGGAAAAGTTTCTGTTGTACTTCTAGTTCTCATATATCTCAACTGTCAAGGCAGAGCGTTAAAGTATCAACTTTCACCCAGAAGATTTTTGAGTCTTTATTTTCAGGCATTGACTGGCCTTTCCACGTTTAGGCTGTTGTGCGCAAGTCTCCTCTGACTGGTGCTTAAATTTGAATCTCAATTGCCTCGCCACTGCACTTGAGTCTCCACTGACACTGATAGGCCAGCATGTGTGAGATTTAAGCTATCTAGCTATCCCTACTTACGTTTCTGTTGTTTGGCCATTGCATGCAAGTCAACATGTCTAATGTTTGCATGTCGACATGTCAACATGTCAGGCAATGTTTAATGTCAAGCCAGCACGTGCCACACGTGTCATCACGTAACGCATGAGTATCACAGGTCAGGCAATCACATGTGAGTATGAATGGTTTGCTATCGAAGCCGTGGCTGTCAGGCCATTGGGAGCAAATTGTTACTATAGAATATCTGTCTATCGCAAGTAGGTCTGAAGTGTCAGACCAGACCTAATTCTGTAAGTATCATCTGATTTGGTCATAATTTCGTGCAACTGTACGTACATCCACCGGTTTGTGATGTGATGGGGGTGGTGTTGCATTGAATGTAATAAAACTAGCTTATGGACAGTATAAATATCAAATTGGTGATTTACAATGGTAACTACCCGTGACATTTTGTCATTTTGGGGATGCTACGTTTTATTGATATTTCATAATATCACTACAGAGGTATTTTCTGATATAATTGCATGAGTATGGCGTTAATATTGCATTAAGAGTACAACGTGAATCGAACACTTGATGTTATTTCCCAATGATTATCTACTGCAATTTAATCATGAACATGTTTGTCAGTTGGTATATTACAATTCTGCTTTCTTATTTTAAATATCTGTACATATAGCAGTTGCGTTTGTCACTGCTGTTATTTGTGGAAAGAACGTTGCGTGTATATCGTTTTCCATCACGAAAACGAATGGCTATTGTAGATAATAAATGATGTTATGTAAAAGAAGTTTAAGAACCATGAAGTTTACTATGAACTCAGTTGTAATATAATTAATAAAGACGAATATTGTGCTAATGTAATAGTGCCAATATTACTTCATATAATTATGTTACAATGAAGTCAATGAAATGACCTCTGGAATTGTTTAGTATACAGATTCTTATAGCCAATGTCCAATAGAATGTACTGGTTACTGCGCCCATCTCCACCTTCAAACCTCCTATTACATAGGTGCTTTGTACGTTACACGTCTCTTTCTGCTCCCTTTTCACCAATACCTTGCCTTGTGTTTTATTCGCAGGATCATGCCGCAGATATTACTAGTATAGAGTTATGTGTATTTGGCGATAATACGAGGAGCGAGAATGCCGGTTGTTGGTGACATACAGGACATACAGTGTTTGCACGTAAAGTAAAAACACCGTAAGCATTTTCAAAAATACATGATGAATCCCAAAGTCTATATTATTTTAAAAAAGCGCTAACACATTTACACTGTTCGTCTTAGGTACTCGATAACTTCAACAACAAATGTATGATTGAAAACCAATATCTTACTGATGTACTCTAATAGTTTATATAACATAACTTGGGCTACCCATTTCTATTAATAGAAATACTTTTTTACAAAATTCTGAAACAGTTTATTAGTTCAATTTTGCAGAAGGTTTTCTCATGCAATGTTTTATTTTTAGCTCATCTGACGTAGTTAGATGCAGCTTGTAGAATCGCATGATTGTCAGTCCTCCCGTCCGTGCGTCCGTCAATAGTTGGGCACAAATCTTAACCGCTCGACGTACGGTCTTGATATTCGGGACGTCGGGGGGGGGGCGAAAACGAGTTGGGATGTCGAAGCTGGGGGTCAAAGGTCAAGACGTGTAAAAGAAGAACATTCCCCCCTTAACTTAAGGTATAGGAGGAAATACGGAATTGCGGCACAAACCTCAACGGCTCGACCTACTCTCTTAATATTAGATGTATATAGTGTGATGGGGAGGAAACCCATCACCAGCGCGAAATTGGGGGTCACAGGTGAAAGGGCAGTGGGGGAAAGGTCAGATATCAGACTTTTTCTGAGGACATGGTCTAACGGACCAAGTGCAAAACTTTTTTGTTTCAGCGCTGACCTACCGTTTTTATCACTTTATTGAAAGGACCATGAAATGTGCTTTCCACTGACGCGCGAAGAGTAAGTGTCTGATAACCTTTTGAACCTCAAGAGAAGGGTTAAACATGGATTTGTTGACTGTTAACAAAGGACAACTGCTTTTGCTATTAGAGCCCCCTCCCCCCACCCTCGCCCACCACCACCACTACGCTCGTATTCCATATACTTACGTTATATCCATGATAACATGTTAATATAGCGAAGTCATTAAAGTTACACAGCTGTGTCTTTATTACTGTACTACCAGTAGGTATAGCAAAGCCTATCATAGATTTTAGATCTGTATTTAAGTAGTATCCTAGATATATGCTCTGAGCGCGAACGCGGTGGCAGGAGGGCGCACTTGATTCGGTTTCCAGTGAGTTTATCAGAAAAATACCTGGCTACAGTACACATCAGTTGAGTGCTGTCGCTCTGCGGCACTTGTTTCGCGGATCCTTTACTGGATGGTATGAGCTTCCATTGCCTTCCAACTGTTTCTCCAGTTAACTCCTCTGTTAACCAGGTGGCTCTTCACGGGCCCGCCTGAGAACTCTTACAGACTCATGTGGCTTATTATCACAATTTTCGTTTACTACACGTAGTGCCTCTCTACTTTGATGCTCTTATTCGAAATGACTGGTCATAATTTTGCCTGACCAGAAGACCATCCTCACATCTAACCTTGAAAGACAGCTAAGGGGCCGGCTGTCTTTTCAATCATTCCATGCATGTTCGGCGGACCATGCATAGAATAATTCACGTGGCAAGCCTACCTACATAATAATATTATATGGTCACCTACTAGAATTCTATAGGAGCTATAGGTGAAACTCCCGAGCCTTGTTTCCTTTGTGATACGTCAATAGTATCATAGTGTAATAAATGAAGTAGGCCCCCTAGACATTAAATGTGTGGCAACGTGAATCGTCAAGTTGTCTAAACGCAATTAGTTCAAGCCAGTTGTCTTCTTGATTTTTCGCTCAAGCAGAAGCTTATACATAGGGGAACGCCAGTGCAGTGGCGTATCCAGAAATTGATAAACAGAGGGGCACAGAAGCAGGAGGGCGTTCAGTCTGATGTTACCCCTGAAGACCGACTGCTAGTAAAACGCTTTTTTTTAAAGTTTTCTTGATTTTTTTTTCTTGGCCTGCAAACGGGGGGCGGGCGTACGCCGGCTCCGCCCTATGCTGGATACGCCACTGCCAGTGGTGTGCGGTGTTATCTGATAGTAGATGCGGTGTTATCTGATAGAAGATGCGGTGTTATCTGATAGTAGAACGAAAACGGTTCACCCCCCGGGGGGGGGGTTACCTTGTTGTCAATGATACATTCAATCTTCTCAAATGCACTCTAATAGGTTCACCGTGTTCTCAACTTCTCAGCTGCGTTATTTACGACTGGATATTACGACAGTCGACACACATCAGAAAAAGGAAATATATATAGAATAGGAATTAAGGTGGCGCATGTTGAAAGCAGTGATCACGCTCAGATGGTTGAGTGCTACGACGAAGCTTGCAAGAGCCAAGAGGGAATGCCAATCTTCACCTGTCCATGATAAATTTTATGTAAGGCAGTAAGTTCATCATGTAGAAAGCAGACACGAAGTTGAGGCGAATCAAGTTGAGCCAAAACAAACTCGGAACTACCGTGATAATTTTTGGAAACCCATCTCGTAGCTTTATGCTGAATGGCATTTAATTTAGAGCAGCTGTGAAGAGTAAAGGGGTACGGTATCATCCTGTCGAAGCACATTCTCATATGCAGCGAACCATAAGGGAGGGGACAGGCGACGGGAGTACGGGAGAAGGGGGGACGGAAGACGGGAGAGGAGGGGAGAGAGACGGGAGAAAAGGGGCGGGGAGCGGGAGTAGGGAGGCCAGTGGGCGGGAGGATTTTCATCCAAACGCGTGAAAGAGAGATATATCCTGATATATATATATATATATATATATATATATATATATATAATATATAAAGAGAGTGTACTAATTAAGTAGCGAAAAATAAAAGAAATCCATAGCATGAGAAATAAATACATGAGAAAATATTATCAGGATACATTTATTACGCAAACTGTCAGAGAAACTAATGGTGACATTCAAAAAATAAAATGCAAAATATAAAGGATCCTGGAGGTGTTGAGAGAGGGAGATAGAAGGACGGGGAGGGAGCAGGGGCGGATTCAGACCGTATTTGCCGTATTGGGAAATACGGTCTAGATTTCAAAGTGCCCTTCGAAATTTACAGAAAATACAAAAAATACAGAAAACAATTTGATGGAATTTAGCTATATTCTTTATTTGTTTTCTTTTTCTTCTGATTCATTGACAGGACTTGCAAGAAATCAAAATTTTACATGGTAACAAAACTAGCTTTGATATCTGAAAAAGAAGGGAAGTGCTTGAATCATTCTGCAATGCAAATGGTATGCAATCAACTGGTATGCAAAGCGCAGGAAAAATTAAGCAGAAATAAAATTCCAGTTTTAGTTTTTAGCTAGTGTTTAGCTATTGCTGCTTGACTAAATGTGTGCTCAAATGGTGCTCATTTTTGTGCCCAGGGACCCTTGAAATTTCCTGGGGGAGGGCCCCCAGACCCCCCGCCATGTGCTTCGCGCCTGACGGCGCTCACTGTGGAGTGGTGTGCCATTTTTGGGGAATGTGCCCAAATTCCCCATTTTCGCATCTTCCCAAATCGCATCTTCGCAAATTCCCCAAATCCCCCCCCCCATTTTTGGGAAAAATACTGTCTATAGCCTCAGCCCTGGATCCGCCCCTGGGGAGGCGAGAGGAAGACAACCCCCTGTACCCCCCTCATAAGAACCAAGGAGATAAACCACTTCAGTGTAAAAAATACCTTGTAAATAACACGTTTTGCATGTTTCTCGATAATCGTTTTTACAAAAACAAACATGATTTTTTTTTTATTAACAAAATATATTGTGCTTTACAATGTAGATTCGGCAAATGTGACTATAGAAATACATATACAAATAAAATATATAGGGATGGATATGGATATGTATCTATTTCATAATCATTAATTGTGTCATTGTATTTGTAATTTATTTATTTTACTCCGAGTGGTTTATGGGAATTTTGGCTTAGGTAGTATGCTCGCCAATGGAAAACGATTTCCTGTTGTGGTGCTGCTCGCGTGATTTAGTGTGTCAGCGAACAGTGAAAATCATGCTGTTGCTACATGTTTAGATTTATGTTTTTCCCGCTATTCAACCGTTTTATGATTTTCAATGTTCAAAAAATGGAGTCGTACATATGTCCACTACTAAGGAATTATAAATAGTTATTGCGTTATGGGTTGTTGTGCATCCAAACCGAAGGTGGAGGAGACGCAAGGTAGCACAAAAAAGGAATATTCGTGGTAATAATCTAATATGTTGACACGGTCGTTAGTCGTTAGGCCTACTAGTACTACTACTAGTACTACTACTACTACTGCTAGTACTATATAGCTCTAGTACTACTTTACTACGTTACTACTAGTACTACAGTACTGCTCGTATTGCTACTGCTACTAGCCTACTACTGATTCTTCTGCGGTTACTGCTACAGCCTACTGGCGCTGAGAGGGTCTTGCATCACGGTGCAAATCCACTTTAGGCACCTTAGGTATCACGAAGTGATGCACAGATTTCTGTGTATCATCAACTGATGCACAGAATTTCCGTATATCAAGGAATGATGGAAAAACCCTAACCCTAACCCTAAGCCCAACCCTAACCCTAACCCTAAGCCCAACCCTAACCCTAACACACTTCGTGATACCTAAGGAGCAAGGTTATACTTTATGACTTAGGGTTAGGGTGGGTTAGGTTAGGTTAGGGTTTTTGCATCATTCCTTGATATACGGAAAGTCTGTGCATCAGTTGATGATACACAGAAATCTGTGCATCACTTCGTGATACATAAGGTGCCTAAAGTGGATTTGCGCCTTGCATCACTATGTCCCCCAGGGTACTGCCGGAACTAGCTCTAGTACTATAGCCCGCTTAAGCCTGGCGCACATTGTCGAACATTTTCCCGAACAAATGTTCGTCCAAACAAATGTTTTTGTCTGGCAATGTGCGGTGGAAAATTGCTGAGCGCACATTGCCGAACATTTTGCAGCGAACAATCTCGTGGCACCGTCTAGTAGCTGTGTTTTAAAGAGTCACGTGATCGGCGCTATTGATAGCGCACAAAAATCATGTGACCACATATCGTGCTGCTATTGGTTACTACTTTACAAATGTTCATAGAATTGTTCGACATTCAGCGCACATTGACGAACATTAGACGAACAATGTTCAAGATATCAAACATTTCCGATTTTCAGAAACATTGTTCGGAACAAATGTTCGGCGACTTTTCACCGCACATTGCCGAACATTTCATGGAACATTGCTACGATAATGTTTTTGAGCAAAATGTTCGGCAATGTGCGCCGGGCTTTACATTAACTGCTGCCAGCGGCAATTGTACGCGGGCTATAGTTACTAGAGCTATGCCGGAACGTACCCTGGTACTATCTAATATGCCGGACTGTACCGCGCACAGGCACTTGAAGCGTTTCAAAAAAATATATAATGCTAACTAAATACGAAATCTATTTACTACCAAATTCTTAATGTTTCTATACTCTCTTTCACCTATTATTGCCGACAGTTTCTTGTCAATTCCGTCCAAATCCTACGTGCAACCATATACGCTGCCGGCGCCATTGCTCTCGCGGCTCCACTGCTGTATATATTAGTGTTGCATGCTTACACTAATATATATAGCAGGTAGGAAAGCGGGACCGCAAAATTCGCTCGACGCTCGCTGGATTTCACACTTTCACAGCACGAATACACATCCAACAGCTGCCATCTTTGTTTCTATGTCAAGAACAGTGTTCACTTGTTATAAAAACATACTGTCTCTGTTCGTAACCGAGCTGGGTCACGCGAAATCACACAAAGACTGAAGAAATTCTCGCGTTCGCGAACCTTGCCCCGTAATGTAAATGGCTGTCAGAATCAGGAAACACCTACCGGCGCTTTTTTTGCAACGTTCCAATGGCGAGGCTCGTACGGGAGTTGGAAAGCAGTGCGCCGCCTGCGCGCCGCCTATAGTCCATAGACTGGCACTCGCTCCCACCTCTCGGCTTAGCTTAGTCACTCGATGGGTAATCGAGGTGGGAGCGAATCCCAGTCTATATAGCCCTGATTCTGACAGCCATTTCCATTGTGGGGCAAGGTTCGCGAACGCGAGAATTTCGTTGCCTCGGACGTAAATTCGTTGGCTCCTCCTACCCAAGTGCATGTCGGCATAGTGAGGGCCTCATTTATCCACAATACACTTCGATGGGTCTGGAGTCTGAACGCATACACAGTCCCTTTAAGTATTACGAATATGGCCAGATTGTACAAGAGATGGTGCCACATGTACGTTAGTCATTTGCAAACAATTTGCATGGCAGACTTCTGACAAATGCGTGGCCATTCGTGTTCTCCACAAAACCATGTTGTTTGTTACGTTATACTGTACACACAAAGAAAAGGCTTAACACAGAGCTTGACCAGGTAGTGCCAGTTGGCTGTACTAAGAAAGCAAGAGAGAGAGAGCACATGCCACGTGTTGGTGGCAAGGCCTATAGTCTAAACACACTTGGTTGGTGGTATAGCACACAGCACAGTGACCATAGCTCCACCTATGGATCGAAATAGTGCAAATCTATTATCAAGTAACATTGTTTGTTTAGTCCCAGCAACCATGCAACGCATAACCGGGCGCAATATATAATAAACGTACATGCACGAATTTAAGGGATGTTCAGCTGGCATGTGTCTCCTATTTATTGTCAAACAAAAATTTGAATAAAAAATAGGCAAGATTTTTTCGAACAAATTGCTCTCAGATACATAGTAAATTACATCTGCGAGGCTTCATTAAAAATGTCCAGGGGAGGACCCCCGGGTATCCGCCATAGGCTTTACAATCTCGTGGCTTGCAGGGCGCCCCATCTTCAAATCCTGAATTCAGCCCTGACATAACCAGAGTAGGCAAAATAGACCAAATAAGATTAGTGCAAGAGAGATAATTATACGCCTTAGGAAGTATTGAGTAACATAATATGCATGTTAAACAAATACTGTAATTGGTTGTTGCAAAAAGATGCCTATATATAGAAATATGTACAGCCTTTGCAGCCATACTGTCGCAACTGTAACGTGCATATCACACAACTACACTACTCGGTCAATATGAATACAAATATTTTCTTGCTATTGTGAGTTAATTTATTGCAAGCTATAATTTGTTAGTAGAATATAAGGTTTGTGTAAACCACATTAAGACTTTGTTACTTTAGTAGTAGTTTTGTAATACACAAGTTAGAACTTAAAAATATTTTCAATTATCTACTTCTACATGGATAGTACCAATACAATTTAAGCTTACGTGTGTGAGTCTGCTACTCTCAGAAATTTCAATGGCAGCTTGTAAGTAGGATTGTGTTACACAATCCCTGTATTTGGTGTGTGTTATGAGTTTAATTATATAAGCTTGGTTATGTTGGCACAGCCCTAGGTTAAAATGCTGTATCAGTATGGGTAGGCCTATGCAAGTGCATAGTATGTTAGTATTAATGTTGGGTGTCTACCTATTGTCGTTTTTGAAATATATCTGGATGTTTGGCTTAGTTCATGTTGGCTTAGGGATGTTTCATAAGAGTACTCCAGTTTAGTTGGATTTGCCTGCTAATGCTATGTCATTCAGATCAATTAATTTTGATTCAAAACTGATGTTTATTTCCAGCTGGTTCCATTCTGGTTCTGACCATATATTAAAAATTCAGATCCAGTGCATTTCTCATAATATGGAATTTGCATATGGGTGAATTATTGTATTTCATGTGTAGTGGCCATCATTTGCAAATGTGATGTGAGTGAATTTATGTAACCAGAGCTATAATAAAATGGGGTATTTCAGTATAATTAAGAACATATAGGTTTAAAGATAATACAAGCATAAATTAACATAGAATAAACAATATAATTTACGTTTTTACTTTCAGGGATAAAAGAGCTCAAATTGATCCAAAAGATTACATAATTGAAAATGTAAATGGCCAAACAGTTGGAAAGATACCTGGTCAAGTCAATGGGCAGCAATTCATCATTCAAAATTGTGAGGTATGAATTATGTGATTTATTTCATAAACCAGATAACAATGACATAACACTACTTGTAAAGGTAACAATTGTTTGGTTTGCAATGATTTCTTTTATTGCAAAATAGATTATATGATTGTGAATTCCACTAGAAAATTCTTTCTTAAATTGTTATTATGACACATTATAATTTGTTTAAATTACTATTCCAGGATGCCTGCATTTATATATTTGACAACTCAGCACAGGTGACCATTGATGACTGCAAGAATTGTCGAATATTTATTGGTCCTGTGAAAGGCAGGTGAGTATTTAACCTAAAACAAATTTATTACTTTTTTACAGCCATTTCATGGGATATAATATTCAACTTTATTATGTCATTTTGATCTAAAATTTATTATGATTTGACCTATATGTCACTACCATACCATCTGTGTTATAGGCAGTAAGTTGTCTTTACATGTACAATGGTCTAATCAATCTTTTTCATGTCAATAACTTGGATACCTGCTGAGTGGGATATAAATAAATAAATGAGTAAATTAATTGATAAATAAATATAAATAATTAATTAATAAGAAAATAAATAAATGATTAATTGCAATAGTTATTACACACACATGCAAGCACACAAACAAACGAACACAAACACACCACACAATATGCAATGGCAATACAATACATTGAATATATATACAAATTCATGTCTATGCAATACAGTATGCATAATACTGTACACTATATACACTGAGGTAGTTTGTCTATAAATACAAACAACAGCTTCTTGCCAGGCACTAACATAAGGACTATTATATATACTATTGCACTTTTGTACATTGGCTGTAGTTAGATGAGGCATACATGGTATATGCTAGCCCATGCCATAGCCCTGCATTCTTGCAGCATAAGCAAGCAACTTATTTCCCGAATCATTTAAACTTCAAAACTGTATTCCTGCTACAACCAAGTCATGGTGCCTTGCTAAGTGACTACACAAACATTAATCCAGGCACGGAACCAGGAATAGTAAACAGGGTGTGAAATTACCAGGAGGCCGGAGTCAAATACTCCCTGATTTACTGCTGGACTCCCTGATTTGACATATGCAGGAGTACGCGTGACTCCCTGAAAATTCTGCCATACTAGCTAGTTCGTTCCAGAGCATGGCCTCGCGGAGTTACCGTATTTTTTCAGCAAATGTCCAGAGAAAATTTGGCAGACGTGCAACCGCATGAATTTTCAAAATAAGCACATGCGTTATTATTAATATCTTTAATTTTGAACTTCAGACTGCGGACTCTCTCTTTTTTAGAGGGCAGGAGTCCGTTAGACTCCCCTGTTCAAAAGTTCATTTCTACCCCTGAGTAAACCAACAGGGTAAAATGCAACTTATTATCCACAGCAGGACAGTTGTCTGTAAAAACCTATCACGGAACTTCCATGGTTCATTTTAATATCACTGATGTTTTGACCTGGTTGCGATCCTGTATTTAAGAATGTGTTTAAAGGAACAGTAGCCTCTAGGTTCTAGGGTTATTTTCAGCTAATTTAGGTTATAATTGCACTACATAAAAAGTTTCATGGTTCAATCACCATTAGAAATATTTTTTTTAAATGTTTTATAACTAACGACTACAGTTTGATTACAACGACGGTGGCGCCACTCAAAGCGCACGATCTGAGAAGTTGCGCAAAACCACTTTCCAGCCAAGGGCTACAGACCGAGGGTATTTCTTATTTATTCATTTAAAAGCAAAAGGATTGTAATATCTTATAAACGACATATAGTTTCAGTTATAATATGGATAAATTTGCCCTAAAATGAATATCGTTTGGTTAAATAGCATTTAGGTATAAATATAATTGCACTTTTGTGATTAGCCCTAGGTCATTTACCTTCAAAATAAAAATGCAAATACGCAACTTTTTCAGGGTGGCAGCACGGTCGCGGGTGTCATGGTGCCGTTCAAATTTCGTAGCGTTGATGTGTAAATAATTAATTAAGTATCTGGTGACAAATACATGTGGGTATAGACGATTTGTTATACAGTAAGTACAGTTGTATGCAGTAAAATCCTAGAGGCTACTGTCCCTTTAAGTATCCGCCAAAATGCCACCTTAGCATTTAATTCATAATTGTGAACTGTTCTTGTACTGGTTATTCCCCACAGCCCTCCCTTCATCCCACCTCGCCTCACCTGTGACTACCAATAGTTTACTGCTACATAAATTCTCTCTCACCGTTTGTTTGTTTTGCTCTAGTGTGTTTCTGAGGGACTGTGCCGGATGCAAGTTTGTAATCGCCTGTCAACAGTTCCGTGCACGAGACTGCAAAAAGATAGACTGTTTCCTTCACTGTGTCACACAGCCCATCATTGAAGCATGTACCTCGATGCAGTTTGGATGCTTTCAGTACAATTATGAGGAATTAGAAGGTAGGCAGTTCAACATGGTACACGTGTGACTTGTGCATGAGCAAATGTGGTCAATCAGTGTGACGTCAAAAGAGTTTTGGAGGTAATATCAGGGTCTCTTATACATAAGAGGCACAGTGGCGCACCGCCGTTATCAAATTTAACATCGCCGTTGTGAAAATGTTCAAATGCAGTCTAACTCTAAGACATTCAAATATTTCAAATTTTTCTGGGCAAGACCCCCCCACCCACCCCCATCCGCTTGCAGCGTCCGCATGCGTGCCTACGGCATGCCTTTGAATCCATCATGCACGTTTTTTTCCCAAACTGGCCATTACCTCCTTTGTCTAATTTTCCCTCAGAAGAAACCCTGCATATGCCTGACCAAATGTTATTAGGCTCTCTAAAATTGTGCATATATGTGTGTTTCACAGTGTTTGCTATATTATCCACTATATCTGGTTGTTGGTTATACTAATGTGAGCTTTGGAGAAATTATCTTCACAGTAACTGGAACAGAATATCTGTTGATTTACATGTGTCTAATACTGTCTATAGTCATATATTTATAAGCACAGTTGGTAAAGGTGGCTCTGCACCTCACCCCTCCCCCCATAGTTTGGAATTAAAATGCCACTGTATTCACATGTACACTAGTTTTATCTTAATAATTAAAACTGCTGACCCCTAATTAAAAGGAGCATAAATGCCCTGTCATAAATGCTCGTATACACACTAGTAGTAAATAGTACACTACTGTTCCTTGATTACCATAGGATTTATACATTTTTTATTATACGAATTTATTTACATTTTTTACATAAAAATGTCTTAAAAATGCGATGATTAGCACAAATAAACCTTATAAATTGATGAATGTAGTTCGAAAATGTAAACAACCCGTCATGACAGTTTGTTCAAAATTTACTGCACGCAAGCGGCACGGCAAAAGCACATAGTCTCGTCTGGAATAGCAGTCTTTACAGAAAAGAAATAAACTTAAAAAACCGAATAATAAACTAGTCTGAGAAGATAATAGCCTCTTACTCAATCTTACTTCCATTATAAAATAGATATTAGCAAGGATAAAAGAATTTCAGCTTATTTACATACTATATTTCATGCCCTAAGAATGCACAGATTTATACACATAAAAGTTGAGTCACTCGGAGCTTGCCGTAACGATATTACTTTGCACAAAAGCGTGGAAAGCGATTACTGATGTAAACATCGGAATGCATATGTTATCAAGAGCGTATTAAGAAGGCTTCTTTAAGAGCCTTATTAAGAGCCTTCTTAATACGCTCTTGATGTTATGAACAAGGCAGCTTTTATGTTGAGTCTATCTGATCAATATTTTTTCATGGAAAATGCTTGCATAGAACATTACGTTTATTAAATACATAATGGATTTCAGGTGAAAGCTGCTTTAACCAATAAACTACCATACAAGTGATTATAGACCATTATTAAATATTACAAACGATGTTATCACATCACATGAAAATTAGGCTAAGCTAGGCGACTCATAACAAATATGGCTGTAATAAGGGATCATGGTTGTCCGTTGGAAAACATCAGGGAAAAATACGGAGCACTGTGTCCCACAGTGTAACACTAATGTATGAATCCATAAGATAATAATTGATAAAGATGTAAGCTTCCATAATTTCCTGACTAAAAGAAGAAGACCTCAAAAACGTGGAGTATTGCTATATGCCGTGATATTGGGGCCACTCTTCGCGGTAACAATTGACACATTATACATGTTGTCAGCTTTGATGGCCATCATAACGCAAATTGCAAAACCTTTGTGCATGCAAAATATCTAATTCGATTTACACAACCTCTACCAAAAGATTGTTTGAAATTTAATTGAGAAATTGCTAAAAACGACAGTACCAGGGCCGTATGCAGGGGGGGTTATTTGGTTTCTGTAACCCCCCTTGGTTGATAAAAAAAGAGAAAAAGTACTAGTTTAAACCTAGTAACATGTTTGGACCTACAGTTGTTTACTCGGGTCTTACTCGGTTACATTGGGATCTATACAAATAAATGTATTGTGATACTAAGTGGGTATAACAGGTGTCAACTAGTCAAATTTAATGGGTAGAAGTTAATTTTTTGTGTAACCATTACAATGTAATTATAACCTTTTTAAAGATAAAGACTCATTGATGGTTAACTACTGAAACACTCTACTACTGTAACAGTTTTAGTTAACACTATAATTTCAAAGAGTCACAGTTCATCATCCTAGCATCTAGATTGGATGGATCACACCACGGAGATAATTAGTCATAATTCCCAACACCAGAGACGAGTTTGTTACAAATCTCATTTTATTTGATTGATGTTAATATTGTTATGGTGATATACACTGTCTTTTGTATGAATTCAACAAACAATTGAAGTGAACTAGATGCCAGGAAATAGCATCTAAACATGTTAAAAACCAAAATTGGCCGGACTCTTCCCCCACTCACCGCTTCGCGGCTCGGGGCGAAGCTTCGCATCGCCATTTTGTAACCCCCCTCTGCCCAACCTCTGGATACGGCCCTGTACTGTACCAACAATATAAGCACATCATGTAACGCGGCTTCTATCATCTATTCTCATTCATCTATAATATTTTACAAATTATGATAACATGTGCTAGCCGTGACATTATGTGTTATGACAAATGTTTTAGTAGCTTGTCTAACAGTTTGTAGAGAATTGTGTAAAGCTTGCATTACTGTCCTGGGTATCCAGTTTTTCTATATACAGAGACTAGTGTACCGATTATGGGCATTATTATATACCACCATTCTGAGGAAATAGGTGTGATTTTCTGTTTCAGATCAGTTCAAGGCAGCAGATATTAGCTTATTCAACAACAACTGGTCAAATATACATGACTTCACACCAGTTGCTGATGAGACCAACTGGGGCCTTTTGCCAGAGGTGGGTTTCTATAATAGTCCTTAGTTTCTGTGTATAACGTGTTTTTTACAACTAGTACTAAGTAGTTGCAACTGGCATTGTTTTCTTGATATATTTTAGATAGTCCCAGCTCTAAGGAAATTTGCTTGCCCACACTACTGTAAATTCATTGTGGAACGGCAGCATACACAAACCGCTTCTATTAGACCTGGGTTCTCCTAGCTGGTTGGCACATAGAGCAACCAAAAATAGGACAAACGTTAATTTCTTCTTGTGTACAGTAGTCTACGCTTTATAGGACAGGTCAGGAACCATGAAACTCTCGCTTAGTCCTGACTAAGCGGTGAACATAACACCATGCATAAAGATTGTTTTTCAAAGACGTGTCATGTAAGTGATGCGCCCGTTTATCCACGGCTCGATGAAGCGGGGACAACTGTATTATCTATTCATAATGGAATTTATGTATATATGGCTTGATTTTCTGTGCATCTAGGGCTACAGTTCTCTTTTATATTTGTATCTGTGCTTGCAGCCGGATATACAGGTAGGGAGGAATGGAAATTTTCGTTGCATATCTGCATGAATATCAGATCTCATTACTTTTCTGTGCATATGATCATTTGACACATACATAAAATATCAATACCATTAGGTGAACCCATATATGTACACATATATACTGCAGGGGGAAAAAAAAAATTTTTTCACGGGAGCTCTTTTTCAAGTCTGTGGGAAAATAGCTCTCATAAAAAAATTTACGGGAGCGATTTCGGAGGTTTGAAGAGCGAATCGCTCATCGCTCCCGTTTATTTTTCACCCGGATATACTGTATACATATATACATATACATATACATATACATATACATATACATATACATATACATATACATATACATATACATATACATATACATCAAGAGTCCATAATAGAGATGGACTCTTGATTATGGACTCTTCTCTATTATGGACTCTATCATGGACTCTTCTCTACGATGGACTCTATCATGGACTCTTCTCTATGATGGACTCTAGATATACATATACATATACGCATATACATACACACACACACATGCACACGCACATAAACATACATCACGTATACGTATACGCTATAAAGGGTTTCTCCCAGGCCTTTAATGCATGTCAGGTCTGTATATTCCTTCTAAGCTGAAGCTAATATCGTCCTCTGACGTGCCTTATTTGCCTAATTGACATGCCTTAATTTCCAGCTGTGTTTACTTTTGGCACAATCCCGGCACAATCATGTTATGTTTCACAACTTGATGTATACATTTCTAAACTGATCGATGTTACTTGTGTATTAAGGAGCTCTGCATATAACATGCATAATGACTCAAGTTGTACAACCCTCTCCTGGGCCTCCCCCACCCGTCAATAAGCGACCGTGGATGTCTTCTGAAATTCTTCAGGAAAACCATGCATATACATATACATATGTACATGCGTACAATACATACGTATGCACGCACACGCATACATACAATGCACGCACCGCATGCACACACAGCATGCACGCACACTCACTAATACACCACACATGCGTGCGCCACGCACATATGCTAGTGCATAAACATAGAATATTCATATATTATTCTTATTATAATTAATATGTAATCCATTGTCATTCATATATTATAAGCTTACAAGCTCATGCCACTGTTATGTAAGTAAATATTCATCATTTGTACCGCCCTGCACTTGGCTATTGGCCATTATGTGAATTAAATTAATTGTATGAACGTGTGGGTGGGTGTGTGTATGTGTGGGTGTATATATTACATATACATATATATATACATATAATATATCTATAGTAATAAAGAATAGTCACTTCTGGATAATATATGTGCAGTCAAAGACTTGTATATAATGGTCACTCACTAGGTAAAGACCAAAACTAGTAATATTAGTACTTTTCACTATATACACTACCAATAAGAAAATGAAACATGTTATTTATAGGTGTTCATTCTATAGAGTTGCCATCTAACACAGCTTCGAGTGCATATATGTGTACTTGTGTGAGCCCACGCGTGTCTGTGTGTATATGTGTGTTTGCGTGTATTCACCTTATTGATATGTCTTTCTTTATTCATGATGTTTAGTTGATGCATGAGACCATGTTTGTATTATCATAAAACGTCACCTACTCACAGGAGACATTGATTTTTCGTGAACTCATGCAGCACCTTCGTTAAACTATAGCTCGTGAGACTGGTAAACCAATACTTGGTTACTTGACACTTTCCTATAGAACCGATTTTCTTTCACACTTAATGTGACAGTCGTAACGGTGGTTTTTACTATATAAAATATATCAGCCATTCCCATCACCTATCTTCAAACGCAACCATCACACCTCACCATTGCCATTAAAATAATTGTGATAAATTTTGAGCTTACAGCCAGTTCAATCTCTATCTCCTTCCTTCTGTTAAGTCAAATTGCTGGCCAATCCTTTATATAAAACATGCCTACGTCCATTAACCACTAACCACTACCTCCGTTACCTAGCCTACCTTAGCATAAACCCTACATTAATTATTTCAAGAATCTTCCTTTGTATTTGTAATTATTGGTAATAATCACAAAACATCGTGTAGGTGTATTCATAACCCTTCAATAAATGCATGAACATATTTATACGTGATACATATAATGATAATAGGCACTACACTCAACCATTTACACGCAAGAGTTTTTTGTGCCATGGCCATCGTCTTTTATTGACGTAGCTGCTAAAGTTACCCATCCCTACGTTTTTCTTTTGCCAGTCTTGTCTATGTAAAGGAAGCAACCTTATTTAATCATATACATATAGCATCTTTCATCAGACATACCTGCTATTTCTCTTGCTTCTTTCTGATCACCGTGCTTCCCCTTAGTTATAGCTGCAATCCTCCTCTAACAGTTCCTACTATCATAAACTGTAATATTCTTTTTGCCATACCTAGTCACGTGTTTTTTGCTCACGACCCTATCTTTTCATATTCTACCACACCTTTTTGTCCTCATGCATCCAGGGTTGGCAGCGAAAAAAAACAGTACTGTTTTAAACTGTTTTAAAACAGTGTTTTTTGCTGATCCAAAGTACCCCATTTTTATGGAATTTTACTCTAAGTCAATACTACGCCAACTAATTTTCTACCCCCTAAATAAAAGTATTTTCCATGCTTACTTTGGCGGAAACTATAAAAAAGTGCTGAAATTTTTCTACTGGCCAATAGATGTCAGCATCACCCAATGCTAACTGTTCCTATGGAAACAACCCAAGCCAAAAAAAATTATTAAACCAATAAAACTAGTCCTGTACTGATATCGATAGATAGAGTTATGCGTTGTTTCTTTGTATCGCCAATAAAAGACGAAAAAACGAAAAAAAAACATGTTTTAAACAGTGTTTCTTTGTTTTTTTGCAAAAAGACTGTTTTATTCCAACCCTGCATGCATCTCTCTTAAACATACACACTGTTCTCCCTTGCCCTTACACACCATTTTCTTTCGGCAATTACTGCCACACCATTTCAACCATAGCTGCTGTCTTGCCACAGTCACGTCTATCATCATTTGGCAGTATCATTCCTTATTTTAGCTATATCATCATCTTTAGCCGTGGTTAATTTAAGTTCAGTTCAGTTAACTTGCTGGACCTTGAATTAGTGCAAACTCTTGCTTCACATGTTGACTTCTCTCCCACTGCACGGCAGGGTTCAAAGTAGAGGAATATGTACCTCACTGCCAAGAACAGCAGAACAGTTCAGAGAGTGGAAGCTAGTCAATCACACATGCCAAGAGGACAGCATCATTCCTCTGACTGTCTCTTCAACTAGAAGAAAGCATACTGAGGTGGGTTTTCACTGAAGCAATTTAAGACATTGTAATGAGACCGAACTGTATTTGTGATATATTTTATGTGAATTGTTTTTTATTTATTAATACAGCAGTAAGTTATCTTTTTGATAACAAATACTTGTTCATGTCTGTTTGCAGCAGGTTTTCCAAAAGAAGTTTTCATTTGTCTTATCATTACTTGTAGATGTCAGTTAATTTTCCCTGATTCTCAATCTTCATTTGTGCATTATATTTTCTGATAGTTAATTAATGTTCTCTTTTATAACAATCTATGAAATAAATGGTTGTATCTGTCCTGCGTACTTAATTTATGTACACAAGTTGTGATTACCAGCTTATACCTACAAGTGAAATACTTTGTGTGACACACTTTTGTGGACTAGTGAATTTTGCATGAAACAATTGCTCACAATGGGAGCTAATATTATCAGGATGCAAGAAGTTATAGGGAATCGTTATGCGTATATGCAATTCATGCAGCTTGGCAAGACATCATGTCGATAACATATACTTAACACACGTGGCTACCACACACATGCTCAAATGTTTTTCATTGTTGTGTTTTTTCTATGTTCAGTCGTGTCTGATCGTATTCTTCTCTGATGGAGGGTCAGACAGAAAAGAGCACGAAATTTTCTTAATGACATGCGTGAGAACCATGTAAGGGCATCTCACTAAACTCTCTGTTATTCTCTTCCTACTCCCGTCACCACTATTTTTCCATTCCATCCATGAGGAGTCAATTATCTGCTCTTGCTATATATATATATAATTAAATATATATATATATATATCAGGAGTAGATAATAGGGAAGGAGTGTGACTTCAATAAACAAGGGAAATTTGTCATTTACTAGCCTTATAATATCTACGATTTACTACGCGTTAACTCATCCAACTTGAGCTCAAATCGTACACAGTACATTCGCCTAGCATCGTGCGAAATTGTTTCCGTCGTATACACCCGCAATCCGGAGATATAGACTAAAACGTACGACACCGATTTTCCATTCTGCTGCCAGCAAACTGATGCGTTTTGCGCCGACATTTAACAAAAGGCACCTACTAACCACAGCTTGCTCTCTCACGAGGCGGTGTGGCTCGCAGGGAGATTGCGTGGGGCGTGCGTGGGCGGCTGGGGGCATACCAGCTGTATGCCGGCTATGCCGGTATGTAGCTGTATGCCGGGTTCAAAGGTTATCTCGCCGAGTGTTGGCGTCGATTGTCCATCTCCCTGTGAGCCACACCGCCTCGCCGAGAGAGCAAGTTGTGGTTAGTAGCTGCCTTTTGTTTAAATTTCGGACGGCAAAACGCATCGAGTTTGCCTGGCAGCAGAAATGGAAAATCGTGGGTCCCGTAAACGTTTTAGTCTATATTCTCCGATTGCGGGTGTACACGAGGGAAACAATTGCGCACGATGCTAGGCGAATGTACTGTGTACGATTGAGGCATCAGTGGATGAGTTACGCATAGTAAATCGTAGGTATTATAAGGCTAGTAAATGACGAATTTCCCTTGTTAATTGAAGTCACACTCCTTCCCTATTATCTACTCCTGATATATATGTATAATTATATATATATATATATATAGCCAGAGCTAATAATACATAATGTACACAATGTATTTTACACAATGTATTATTAGCTCTTGATATATAAGATATATCTCTCGTTCACACGAGGATTTCAGTACCATACTGAGCGTTCACACTGTAAAAATATGTAAGACTTATACGCGGCCTCCCAAGTACCGTACTGAAATACGAGGCTTATTTGGCACGGAAAGTGATTCCGCGCTGAAACAACGGCACCATGCTGGCCGCGTATTGTCTGTCGTGTGACTGCAATTCGAGGCCTCGTAAGCCGTGAAACTGTAGTGCGCTACATTGATACTAGGCGGCGGAGTGTCGTTTTTCACTTAAGGCTCATGCCATTGAAAATATTTCTCCGAATTTCCTTTTGATAATTGTCTTCATCACCAAAGCATTCGTAATGTTCATCTGGATTTTGTGTAATTTTACTGAAAAACTGCCACAAACAACTGACTTTCATGGGCGCCGCGCCGCCATCATGGAAAACATTTCCCTCTAACCGAGAAATTATTTACTATTATACCTAGCCAGCTAAGCCTCGATTCTCGTGTGAACGCTGCGGGTTGTGTTAGCACGGTATTTCAGCCGAATTCAGCACCAGATAAGTATGGAACCAGCGAGGCCGTGTCTCGTGTGAACGTAGCTATATATAATGTTATATGTGTGTAATACACTGTGTAGAGGTCAAATCTATCAAAATACAGAGACATACACGTTTACCTTCGGCCTACCTTATTTATAACATCTCTTGAGCATATGACATGGGCGCTTATGACAATAAGACTGTAGCTAGTAATTCTATGCCAGCTCAGATCTCCGGTTTGAGTTCATCCTTTTTAAATAGTCACGACACCATATAAGTTATCTGCTCCTACTCCGTTTTTGTTATCAACCCAAGCCCACTTACACTGTGTTTAAGTAACAGGCCCGTATGAGCTACAGTAGATATGAACGTTAGGAATGTAGTTTATGAAAGGTTGCCACTCCAGCAGGCTTGTGAGATCCTAACCGTTTGTTCCTCGGGTGATCTTTCGAACAATGTAATGGAACTCACTTCAGGTGAACAAGAAATGAATGCAGAGTTCAGTCCTGGTGAATTGTCATTGCAGACGGGTAATTGGTTTGCATGATCACAGGTTTCACATACGGACTTTTATATGGCCAAGCTAAGATAGCATAAAGAAGACATTGCAAAGAATTTCTGATGTTGAAATATGTTGCCACTGTGTGCCAGAGCATGATGAGGAATTGTCTGGACTGCGTATTTCTCCCGGCCCCCCCACTCAGTGTTATCTAGGGTACGCATATGCTCGTTCCCTCCTTTTGAAAGCACCCCCCTATCTCAGGACTGCTAAAATTTCTGAACCCCCCTTTCGCGGGCTTTTTGCGGGTTTTTCCTGCCTTGGAGACCCCCCTAAATCCGGAACACTGATCAATGTACCCCCTATCTCAGGTTAGCTCTCATTCCAACCGTAGTGACGTTAGTGTATAGCGTGTGGAACTGTCGAACCAGTCTACACTACGTAGTGTAGAGTTCAGTGATCGAGGGGAACTAGGGGGCAATATTTTTACATTTCAAAATTAAATAATCCTGAATGAGCTTTCAAAACTAGCAGGAATTTCAGGAATTTGATCCCGGGATTTGATAAAGTTTTCTATGATATTCAAGATGAAAGAGAGAGAGGAAAAACACCCCCTTTTTAAAGAAATCTCTGGGTGAAAAGTCAAATACACCCCCTTTTTTACAATTCTTGGGCCGGATTTTGTCGCGCGAAAAATACCCCTTTACCGGAGATTTTGGGAACGCGCATGCGGTCCCTCCGACCTCGGAGTGGGGGGGCCGGGGTATTTCTACAAGCGAACGCAACTGCACTTACCATATCTTACATCACCGTTCTATTTATATTGTAGACCCTTCATGCTACTGCCTCGTCCACCTAGACTAATGCGTGAGTTGTCGTTGATGGGCGTGGTTGTTCATTTGCAGCCACATTGCACCCTAGTGCAGAGTAAGGAAGTTACAATGCAGGAAGATGATGCCCGCCGCGTGTTTGGGTCAGAATCCTACACATTACTAGTAAAATTAGGTGAGTGCTTGTCTTCAGTGTCGTCTGTGCGATCAAGCATTTCAGGTTAACATTTTGTCTTTGATAGCATTTAGTATATAGTGTGAGGCATTGTTGGCAGCAACCTTAATTAAAAAAAATGTATTAAAAATTTTTAATTATGTTTCTTTTAGAATATGTGTCTTCATTCTGGTGGCATTGAGAAAACAATACATTTTATTGACATGATACGATAGTACGTTATTTATTATAATTTCATCTACCCTGCAGGACCAGTGATAGGATTCGAGTATAATGGACCAAATGCCAATCTTCATTGTCAAAAAGCCGTTGCTGACACAGCATATGGCACGACTGGCCTTGCCTTTGTTAGCAGCAATCAAAAGACTGCCATGTCGTACGTCGAGAACTTCTACAACTTTGCAGACATGCAGATGAGTGGCTAAGTGGCATGAAGATTAAACAGAGAAACAATCAGAAGATTACGTATACAAGGGATATAATTGAGTTAGTTGGGTTAACGAGCTAACTGATGTGCTTCTACGATGAGAAAAAGGGAGGTATATGAGTGAAAGAGAGCGAGAGAGAGAGGTTAGGAGGTTAAGCTGTTAGAAAAGGTTGTGCTAGAATGTAGATATGTGATTAAGCTGCTAGGAGCATAGGCAAGCCTCATTTATGATCTAGTCACAAATCTAGGCCATCTGGGAAGTAACTATTGTTTGTTGGTTTTGTCTGTTATCATTTCTTCATAATATTTTAGCTGATTTTATGAAGGCTTTCAATGCATAGCATGTTCGCGTGCATTCATACATAATCTTTATTATGGAATTAAGCCTTAAACAAGTGACAGTGACAGTAACAGCTGAAGTGACAGTGGGTATGGGCAGTCATTGAAGCTGGTGAGCATTTGCTATATTGATGAGCACCTGATTAGTATCTTGCTGTCCCCTACATGTTTTCCTAATATTTTAGCATAGTTATTGACTTTAGGGCAACATGGCGTTATTTGCATTTCTAGATAAGCATTCACTGTTAAGGCATGTAAGGTACTCAAGTCACTTTATTACACTTATATAGTAGGATATTGTATTATGATGACCAGTTTTTATGAGACTTCTACAGTTTACAGTTCTCGTTTTCTAAAGATTAGCTGAAGTCAACAAAATTGATTGGTGGATGCCACCAAGTTACTTGTGCTCGGTACATGAAACGTGCGCTTCTATTTCACGGTAGGTATTTGCTCGTTTAATATTGATGTAAGGCATATAATATCAAATGGGGTTAATAAGTGCTATACGTTTTCGAAATATTGCTATCCATGACACATCACTTCTAATTGGCATTGTAAAACGTGTGCACCAACCGGAGTATAATGATACTCTGCAGGGATGAATGTTTCTGCAGATTCAATTACGGTTTACCAATAAAGATTGCCTTAACAATTTAACTATATATAACCTTACAGACTATAGCATCTTCTGATGTATAGGCCTAGACAACTTTCTTATGTGAGTTATATGTCAGTGCGACTGATGTTTTATGTTTCATTTCTATATATATATAATCTTGATTATGGACTCTTCTCTATTATGGACTCTATCATGGACTCTTCTCTATGATGGACTCTATCATGGACTCTTCTCTATGATGGACTCTATCATGGACTCTTCTCTATGATGGACTCTAGATATACATATACATATACGCATATACATACACACACACACATGCACACGCACATAAACATACACATACGTATACGTATACGTATAAAGGGTTCTCCCCAGCCCTTTAATGCATGTCAGGTCTGATATTCCTTCTAAGCTGAAGCTAATATCGTCCTCTGACGTGCCTTATTTGCCTAATTGACATGCCTTAATTTCCAGCTGTGTTTACTTTTGACAATCCCGGCACAATCATGTTATGTTTTCACAACTTGATGTATACATTTCTAAACTGATCGAGTTTACTTGTGTATTAAGGAGCTCTGCATATAACATGCATAATTGACTCCAGTTGGTACAACCCCTCTCCTGGGCCTCCCCCACCCGTCAATAAGCGACCTGTCTTCTGAAATTCTTCAGGAAAAACCATGCATATACATATACATATGTACATGCGTACAATACATACGTATGCACGCACACGCATACATACAATGCACGCACGCATGCACACACACATGCACGCACACTCACATACACACACATGCGTGCGCGCACGCACATATGTAGTCATAAACATAGACATATTCATATTATTCTTTATTTATAATTAATATGTAATCCATTTGTCATTCATTATATATAAGCTTACAAGCTCATGCCACTGTTATGTAAGTAAATATTCATCATTTGTACCGCCCTTGCACTTGGCCTATTGGCCATTATGTGTAATTAAATTAATTGTATGAACGTGTGGGTGGGTGTGTGTATGTGTGGGTGTATATATAC